TTATTTTTAAAATATATGAATATATTACTTTAAAATATTAAAAAGAATTACCAATTGCTTCAAATTTTCTAATATTCTTCTGTTATGTTATCTTTTTCAACATTTGAGAATACCAAATATTAAAATACCAAATATTGGGTTAGTTTTGTGATCTTTCAATTTTCATACATGGTAGGGAAAAAATGCAGGAAAAGCAGACTTGTGCTTGACCATCTGATTTTTTGGTTGTTGTACTTTGACCTGCTATTGTTGCATCCTTGTGTCTCTAGGGACACTGTCCCCACTGTAACATCCTTCAGGATTTTTGCCCAAGTTCATTAGCAAGAAGACTCATTAGTGATATTTGAATGTGGGTCACCAAGGACTGAGTCATTTATTATTTAGTTTCAGGTTTAGCAAATAAATCAAATGTGAGTATTAATAGTGTGGAGGCCCCTCACCCTATCCACAGAAATCATAATATCAGTGCTGTAAAAGCAAAAGAGGGCAATATTTGAAACAATATTTTGTTTTCAACAGAAAAGAGCGCTAGAGAATATTTTCTAGGCAAAAAGAGTGACCACACTCCTTGGTTAGAAAATCTTCCCAGTGTGTTAGCAATGGAAAAGCTGAGACCACCAAGCCCTCCCAGAACACAAGTCAGGGTAAGTGGAAAGTCATAAACGGAGACAAAAATCCCTCCCAAGCCTTTGCTATTAGGTCCTCTTCATCAAATTAGCCTTTAGGACCCTTGTTAGAGAATCCGCTGGAGTGATTATTAACTCTCAGAAGAGTAAGTACAGTGCCCCTTTCATTTACTTTCATCTTTGGTAAATCTGCATGATGATTTTCTCTGAGAAGCAGGTTTGACATGATTTACCAAAATTAAATACAATTAGTTATTTCAATTACTATATGAAGTTCCACAGACCTGAGATGTATTTTTTTAAATGCCAACTTTTATGGTTATATAAAGATGGTGTGACTTTATAGATGGTGAGAAGTTGTCTCTGCCACACACTCACTCTCCTCAATATAGGAAGAAAACTGCATTCCTGCATTAAAATCCCCTAATATGACAATTTATCTAATGAATTTGACAAAATTAGTTATCCTTGCAACTTTTAGAATATAAAATCTTTGTAAAATGCAACTGTTTTGTTAAGCTTTGCATAAAAGCTAAAATTATTAATAAATGGAATTAATGAAGGATATTTTGGAATAAAGACTATCACCCACAGGGTGCAAAGAGCAGGTTACCACGGAATAGTTCTATCAACTGCTGGAGTGCTAAGTGGATTAGAGAAAGTAGAAAGGCTGAAAAGAGTATCCTTCCTTTTAATTAAAATTATTTATTGTAACTATTATACTTTGTTCCTATATTTCCTAGGAATGTTACAGTTCTTCAAGAAACCATGTTTGTCTCTCCTGCCCAGTGATGGCAAGGGTAAATCTTGGGGTTTGACTGTAGTAAGTGATCATATAATGAGAGGTGCTCCAGCCTTCATCTCTGGAAAAAGTGAATATCTTAAAGGAACAAATGCTAAACTTTCATACAACAAGCTAATTGAGTTTTCTTAGGAAAGAAAATTGTTTTTTGTTTGTCTATTTACGAGAAACTCAAACATTGTAGATATTAATTGAAAACTAAGAATAATTTGAGTATGTTAATAAAATTAAGTATGCTAGCCGAGGAAAAAGTATAGAGCAACTACTAATTCAAATTAACAACTGGAGGCCAGACGTGGTGGCTCACGCCTCTAATCCTAGCACTCTGGGAGGCAGAGATGGGAGGATCGTTTGAGCTCAGGAGTTCAAGACCAGCCTGAGCAAGAGCGAGAGACCCATCTCTACTAAAGATAGAAAGAAATTAGCTGGACAACTAAAAATATATAGAAAAAATTAGCCGGGCATGTTGGTGCATGCCTGTCATCCCAGCTACTTGGGAGGCTGAGGCAGAAGGATTGCTTGAGCCCAGGAGTTTGAGGTTGCTGTGAGCTAGCCTGACGCCATGACAGCACTCTAGCCCAGGCAACAGAGTGAGACTCTGTCTCAAAAAAAAAAAAAAAAGAACTAGAACAGTCTTTAATTCTGGTTTAAAAATATTAAAATGTCATTGAAGAGACATAGATGGAAAATTTAATGGAAACAGCCTTTACCTACAGAAGACAACGATGAAAGCCTTAAATGCAGACAGAACAGAGGACTATTTCATGGTGTAATTGTGTGAATTAAGATCTATAAGACGAAAACCTGTATTAAACAAAAGTATCGATAATCTTGAATAAAGGCATATGATAAATTGCTGTAATTTGAATGTGGATACTACTACACAGTCACACAATGAACTGAAGGAATATAGTGATATAAACCTTTATAGATGAGGTTTGATAAATGTAACAAAAGTTTGAAGTAAATATTCCTTTGCACTTGCAATTACATTTCTAACAATTATGGAAATTGTGCAACAATGTTTATAAAATATGATTTTTGCAGATATTTTAACAATCATAGAAAATAAAAAGATAACCGTGTTTCAGAAATGAATTTAAAACTTGTGGTATATTCATAAGGTTTATTTAATACAGGTGAATTTTGAAATAGGTATTTTAAAAACTAATGGGGAATTTAAAATTAGTTACACAAATACAGTGGGTTGAAATTTGATGGAATTTACTGTACTTACAAAGATGTAAAAATATTTACAATATATTTTAAAGTGAATGCATGTGAAAACTGTATATTCAGGTATGAAAATTCCTTAACCTCTAGCTTAAATATCTTACTGACAGATTCCTAAAGAAGCAAAATGGCACCAGCAGAGATACAGCTATTTGTCTGCTTGAGAGATAAGGTGGACACACCAGATAACGGTTTGTCAACATGGAAGGTAATAGCATGAGCACAGAGAGTGATACTTCCATGGTATGACTTTATTCACTAGCAAACTCATGTTTCAAATGCAAAAAAACTCAATGTTAATATAGGGACATCTAAAATTTAAATAATTAAAATCAGTGACAAAGGAGTTTCAAGAAAAGCCAAATAGTACTTAAACTACTTTTGAATGTGTAGGCCAATGAACTAGACATCTGTGTATTTATACCCTGACATTTCTTACTCATTGATTATAAATTTAGGATTGTGTTAGTTTTGGTAGCTCTCCCAGTAAAAAAAAAAAAAAAAAAAAAAAAAAGACAATAGGCCCTGATTTCAAAAACTTACTTTCTCCAGAGGAAGTGCTCAAATAGTAGGAACAATTACTTACCACAGGAGCACAAACTAGGAGCAGTCAGCTCTGACAATAGACTTTTAGGAGCCTTTCCAGTAGACGTGACCTCAAACTGAAGATCACAAATAAGAAGTTGTGAAAGGCAGTGCATGTAGACTATATCTAGCATTTTAAATTTCATTTTGAACTTGATGATTGCAAGGCATGAAGTCCTTTCCATACTGGACTAAACAGACTCAAAGTATAAAATAAATATGTTGTCTTTTCCAGCTCTATATCCTTTGACCAAATTTTTTTCACATGTGATGAACAGATTGTGCATTAAAATACTCTGTATTATGTATTCCAGTGGTCACTAAGTGTAAATTACATGGTAACAGAAAAACATAAGAAGTCAGAAGATTGATTCAACCATGTGGAAGCTGCATTTCAAAACACAAAACAAAACAACATAAACACATGCTTGGTCATAGTACAAAATAAATAATACAGTTGCAAATGAATCAACCAAGCCTGTGTACAGAGCCCA